AAATTAACTTCCGATGAATTTAAAAGTGATTCAAATAATTTGTAAGAATAACGATTTGTATAATAGAGTGGTGAAGACCTGGAGAATTCTACAACAACAAGAAAAAAACCCTAATATGATCTTCAAAACTTTCTTTTTCTAAAGAACTCGGTTGATTTAGTTGATGAAAGAGCAAGATTAATAACTGATGAAATCGATCTTCTCAAGAAGCTAGATTTGATATATGTCAAACTTTCACAAACGGTGTCCGGAAGTGGTTTTTTGTGGGATTAGTTCTATAGCAGTGGTTTATGTTGTGCCTAAGCTGGTTGAAATAGCTAATGACTGCAACATGTACTTTGAACTCATCTGTTGATGATAATTAACTCGTTTTATTTATCAATCTAATGAGCGACCACACTATGTTTATTTGGTTCAATAGTATTTTTCAAGCGCTTAAAACTTGAATTAAAACATCGAGGAAGAAACACTGGTCAGTCAAAGAAATCTTAAGGAGACGATACTCGAGACTTTTTCATTGGTATTTAGTAGGTTTCGATCAGAAAAAGTGGGACCTAAGCGAAACTAACGTAATATTTTAAATAAAAACTCAAAACTGAGTAGACCTATGTGAGCTTCAGGTGTTTTTCTAAACATTTTTTCATCGAAAAAAATCACCCCTGGCGCCCTACTAGGATGAGTCGAAAAATTGGTCTCACCAAAAGTTATCTCAACAGTTACGTAGGTCTACTCAGCTTTGAATACTGATTTAGAATAACAGATTATCTTTACACAGATCACACTTCGCTAGTCGAAATCTATTAAATACTAGTCAAAAAAGGCTTAAAACCATTTTTCAAAAATAGTATCGTCAGAATTTTTTCTCAGAAGTCAGCATTTTCTTCTCGATATTTTGATATCATCTTGTAGCGCTAGCGAACAATATTACAACTATTCCGGCGGGTGATCAGAATAATTGACTATGACATTTCATTTCAATAGGCAATACACATAATAACTCATAATACACAAATGTCAAGGGATTTACTCTAGGTGAAGTCATATCGATTAGTATTTTTTCTGGATGTTAGTAAACTATTGTGTAGTGCTCAAAACGCGCTATCAAACTGCATGAAAACTAGCCTGATCGATTACGAAATTGATAGATAATCTGACAGTTGATTGTCATCAACAGTCAGACTCTGCACATGTGACAGTCATTAGCTATTTCAATCGGCTTAGGCACAGTACGAACAACTGCTATACGACGAGTCTCACAATAAATCACTTTCGGACATCTTGTGTGACAGTCTAACATAGAAGAAACTAAATTTCTCAAGAGAACCAATTTCATCATTTATCGATCGTGCTTCTTTAGAATTTCACTTATATTATACCTGATTGCTTTTTATTTTTAAGTAATGTGCGTGTCCAAATATCATTTGGTTGCTTAATAGCAATTGAATTAATATGAATAAGAAGACGGATAATGAGATAAATTTGTGTATGCAAGAAATTATTGTAAACATGTTGAACGAAAAGATCGAGTAATATATGGAATAAACGATGGGAATTAAATACTTCGTAGATATTATCACCGGTATAATCATTTGAAATTGTATAGATTAATTTTGTAAAGAATTTTATTAAATTAAGACGTATAGATCCTATGAAGAAAAATATTCAATATAAAAAATATTTAATGACAAAATAAAACAAAAAATAACAATCTAACCGAGAGGTTCACTAATAAATTGATATTTTATTGTTTGTGTTTTATCATTGCTTGATGGAATTAATGGTGCACAAGGTACAGATAGTAAAGCAATTAATGATGGTAGTCGAAATGGTATTACTTCTATTAAGGTTAAATAAACACGAATAAGATGATCGTTGGCAAGATTTGTTAAAGCAGATGTATTCTCATTCGATTCAGTCATCGTTAAGTTATTTCCGTCATCATTAATCTTTAAAAAACGCATTTTTTTTTTAATTTATTTTTTGTCAATATCAAAATGAGTCTTTTTTCTTTTACCTGCATTTCTTCATTTTTGTTCGGTGACGAAGTATTATTTTTCGATATTAATGAAATACATATAGGCACAGACATTTGTCGACTAAGAATATCAAGAATATAATGAAGAAATTCATATCCATTTGCTATAAGTATCGGTCGTTTTATTAACGTATCAAACAATTGTTCAAGATTAGATTTCGATAGAATATGTTGAGCAAGAACAAGTGGTGTTAATGTTTCTTCAATGTCATCATTCATAGACTTTTTTTCATCATCACTACTAGATGATAGTTGATTGGATAATGATGTCCCTAAAATTGAATATAAGCTAATAAAATGAATCTACTGTAGATATCTGAATGAGATATTTTACAAAGAAATTGACGAAAATATTTCTTTTGATAAGTTTTCTGATATGAAATGGTTATAAGATTTATCAAGAATTGTAAACGGTTAAATACAAACCTTCAGTATTATCATTTCTATTATGAAGAAGTCGTTCTATTGTTGATGATAATGTTGGACCAACAATATCACATTCGTTTCCTATCTGTTGATCAAAAGCTAAACGTAAAAATTCACTGAGTAAATTAGCAATATTTGTTTGAACAGAATTTGAGTCTGTTATTAAAAATTGTTCCATAAGACCATCAATTATATTAATATCTTCATACCATTTAATTGTATCTGAGCGTTGTTCACCACTATCCGATATCAAACGATATAATATATCAATTATTGATGTTGTATCAAGATGGCGAAAACAATCATCCTTAAATGTTTCTCGAGATTTAAAATAATTTATTATTTCATTTGGTTTTCGATTTATCAATGTACTAATTATGCGTGAAAAAAATGAAGCAAGTATTGGATTAAGTGTATCATTATTTATTAATAATAATGAATATAATAAATCAAGATTATTTTTTTCTAATAATTTTTCTTGTATATATTGAAAATCTCCAGATAATAATTCCGTAACCACATTTGCATAGCGAAAATTATTATCTTGTGGTAATGTTATTACATGATGAATAAGTTCATTCATAACATTTTCTTGAATAAGATAATCAAGTAAACGTTTATTTTGATTTAGACATTCTTGAATTAAATCACTTTCATCAAGAAAATCTTGTAATTTTAATTGATCTATTGGTTTATCAAATAATTTGTCAAGAGACGATGTTACTATATGACATTGCCAAAACATGATTAATTGCTTTTCTTTATTGAAATATTATTTATATATAAATAAGCTAAAAGAAATATATTAGTTCATTATTTTTCTTTGAAACATTTCAATTTTCTTCAGTAGCAAAAGAAATAAAATAGTTATCTATACACCTGAGTGAAACGGTGATTATTTGATACTATCTTAATGCATAAAATATCGTCTATATTATATTTATAACTATTATGATAATTGTTGTCTATTAATGCATTAGTCAAATTATAGTTCGATGAATTAAACTACAAAGCGAAGATTTAATTTGTCATTAAAAGCAAAGAATTTTCATTCAATGACGAACCTTATCTGCTTCAAGGATATTTACAATATCCTTCTGTTGCTTTATTTTAAATAGATTCTATTGAATTCAATTCTAATGTTATTGATACCGAACATAATTATCTTAAATTCCTAAATAGATTAAAGATTTACTATGAAGGATATTGGAAAATTTCAAGCGTTTGAACCTTTATTTTGTTTACGTTTTCTATAATTACTCAAGAAAAATAAAAAAAGATATTATATACCGATGAATTCATTTCAAAATGATGAAAGGTAAAGTAATAAAAAAAAAAGATAAGAACTCACGTATAGGATTAAGCAACAGAAAAAAAAACACAAGTGTCACACATTTCGGACGTCACCATCATTACAATTGATTCTAGCGATGAATTCATAAGTGGTTGCTAAAATATTTAAAAAAAAGACAATTTTCAAAAATTATTTTAAATAATATCCTTTTTTTTCCTTTATGTTATTCCTAAGTCATTATTAAATATTAATTTTTGTAGTATGAAACTAAAGATGTCACTATTGATCAATAGTCCTTTTCTTTTTTTCTAAACTCTTTTTAATAGTTTAGCAGTTGTCATCATCAAAAATAACGTAATGTTGTATTTTTTATTTCATTGTCGTTGTCAAGTGCTCATACTTCTTTTCAATTCTATTATATTTCATTCTTTCATATTTTTGTCATACATATATATTTAATAAAAAGAAAAAACGAGGCTTGTGTATTGAACAAGATCAATTAAATCGTTTCCGGTTTTATTTAAACGAGTAATATAACAGTTATATATAACGTGATTGACATAATTTGTATTAATATTTTATGTGCATGACTACAGTCATCAAAGTTATTAAGAGATCATTCTTATTTTTATAGAGAGAGAGAGAACGGAACGATTTACTTAATCGATAGAAGAGAAAAAAAAGGAAAAGTTGTATTTGTAGAAATCATAAATCTTAATTGCATCCGATAATTACTAGTGTAGTTTTTTTTAAAAAGGCCTTTTTTTCTTTTTAAAATATCAACAAAAAGATTTATTGACTTTGACACACAGCTTTTGAATTTACACTAGCAACGCCTTAATATAAAAGAAGTAGATGCAAATTGTAATTTTGAGAAGAGAAAAAGAAAGAAAGAGTTACCAAGCAACTCTCCGATGTAAGTGTGTATATGTGTTCGGTTCGCATTTTCAAACAAGTAAAAGAAGAGCGAGCGACGAGCGAGCGTTTTTGATAACGATGGAGAGTCAAGCAACAGTAAAAGAAAGAGAAGAAATGTTTCAAATTCATTAATAGATTCCGTTATAACGACAGTGACGACGACAATGTCATTCACGTCGAATAAAAACATTTTTGAATTGTTGTGTATTATTGCTGTATGAGAGTTTTTTATTTGAAATTGTTTGCTGCTATATTAGCTTGAAATTAAATCGAAGTACTTTTTCTTTGTTATTATTATTTTCAGATTTTAGTGATTAAGTCAGCAATATGGTCGAAGAACTCGACATTACTGATTTACGCGTCCATTTCATTGCTGATTATCTTATCAAATCATTACGTCTTCGAGCGGACAAGTGGGCAAAAATGATTCAAATCGAAGAACAAAATCGAACGATACTTGATTTTTGTGAAAAACCTCAACCAACTTTACTTGTCTTTCATGTTAATCCTGCTGGAAATCTTGTAAGAGGATTTTCTATTTTCTTCATATATAATTTTAATATTTATTTATATATATATATGTATATTTATAGATAGTAGGAACATCATTTCCATCATCACTCAAAAGTAAAGCATGTTTTTTTGATAAAAAATCACCAGAACCCATACAACGTGAATCGAAAGAAAAAGTTGCTGCAGCCTTAAATTTTGGTGATTTATCAAATGCTGCACTTGAACAATTACAAATTTATGTCAATGATGTATTTAATTATATTAATATAATATTTAGTTTTTTTAAATTTCTTTGTTGATATGTTTAGGTTGTTCGACCACTGTTAACGACACCACAAAACCGTGAAGAATGGCCTGAAGTTGTTGTAACTGATTTACAAAAACATGTTTCTGATCTTCAGTCACAACTTCAAGTTGTTACAAGTCTTGTTAAAGGAAAAATTTTATTACCATACCCAAAATATAGTGGTTCAACAGCTACAAATGGTACATTGTATGCTAATGGACAAAGTCGAACAAATGAAACACCACAAACAAGTTCTAGAAAGTATGCCATTGATTTTAATTATTGTAATTATCTATTAATAAATTTTTGTTTTAGTGCTGAAACAATCGATTTAAAGTTAGTACATGCAGTAGAATCTGTTGTTATTGAATGGTCACATCAAATTCGTGAAGTATTAAAAAAAGATTCAGCACAACCATTACTTGATGGTCTTGATCCATTACCTTCAATTGAAATTGAATTTTGGAAATCAAAACGTTCTAATCTTGAATCAATTTCTGAACAGGTAAAATCGAAATTTCATATCAAAGAAAGAAAACATTTCATTAATAAATAAATAATAAACAAAATTCTTTAGCTCAACGATCCACGTGTAACAAAAATGGGTGAATTACTTTCTAAAAGTAATAGTTCATATTATCCATCATTTTTACAAATACATAATGATGTTCGTCATGCACTTGATGAAGCACAAGATATTGATACACATTTACGACCATTAGCAAGCCATTTTGAATCAATAGAAACAACTGATTTTATGGAAGCTAAACATTTATTTAAGCCAATGTTTCATATAATTGGTCTATTATATGATAATTGTCTTCATTATGCTACAGCATCAAGAATAGTTGTTTTATTACAAGAAATATGTAATCTTATTATGAAACAAGCAAGTGAACATTTAGAACCCATGGAATTATTTAAAGGTGAAGTTGATGAAGCATTAATGAAAATTGATGATACATTTGATACATTAAAAGAATTTATTGATGAATATGAAATAATTCGAACGAAAATGAGCACAAAATGGGATTTTTCACCAAAACTTGTTTTTGCTAAATGGGATATATTTATGACAAGAATGAATCGTATTAAAGATTTATTTTCAACAGCAAATACTTTTCTTAAACTTGAAAAAGTTGAAATTGGTGGTGTTAAAGGTAAATGAAAAAATAAATTTTAACTTGATTTTAATTTGTTATTTAATATTTATTTTTTAGGTCGAGCATTATCTGCTGAAATTCTTCAAATATATGAAGAATTTAAAGCACAATTCGAAAAATTTAATAATAAAACATACAATCCACTTGATCCAAAAAATACGGTAAGAATAATATTATCAATTTGATCATTAAAAAAAAAGAAAATCTACATGTCCATTAGAAATATTTTAAAATCATTCAAATTTTTTACACTATTCGATGATATAATGAAGTCAAAAAAGAATATTTTCTCTGTCTACTTGATTGATGTGTTTGATTGAAACATACATTATTAATTCAATGAGTATTTTATCCATTTTGTGTCTTCCGAAATACAGTTTGAAATTACAGTACAGAAGGATCCCGACAATATTTAGAAATTTATCATTCTTTCGAATTGTACACTACATGTTATGCAATCATAACATGAATTTCGAACATTGCAACACTAGCCACCTTTGAACTTTGATAGAAGTCATATCAATTTCTTTGTTGCAAGAGTGCATATTCGTCAAATTCAATTTTCGATTGTTTTTTTCTTTGTACAACTTAGAAAGATATCTATAGATTGTGTGTAGAAGTTCTAATACATCTAGATAATTAAACAAAGAAATATATGACTCGTAAAACAATACATAACTATAAGTCAATCATGATATAAATATTGCATAATAATTCAAATGAAAGCAATAAAATTAAAAAAAAAAATAAATTACAAGTTGCTGACAATATGCTATTTGAGAAAATCTTTTTTTGCGTACTTTTTATTATGGCTGAATAGAACTCGTTGAGTTACCTAGAAAAGTGCTATTTTGGACATATTCCGGTAATGTTTTTGCAGTGAAACTTAAATTACAAAAAGTCAGAAATGTCTTTAAAAGTTGCAATACTCCGAAAGCATCAACTCTCAGTAGCCTGAGTAGTTATTTGAGTGTTGAGAAGATTGATTTTTTCGGATAGCAATAAAACGCCATAAATATATGTTTGTATTCAAAGATTTTGACTATCAAAACTTCAATTTCGAAAGCAATAAATCTCATATTCAGAAGCAATGACTGAAATCTTAGAATAGATAGCCATATTTTTTCCTTTTTGCTGTCATCTTCACAAAATTGATTTTCTCAAATAGTGTGCAGGCTTGGTTTTCCAACTATATGACGAGTAAAAAAAAAACACTCGGATAAATATTGAGGTTACCGAGACTTGATGCTTTCGGCATATTTCAATTTTTATAGGTATTTCTGATGTTTTGTAACTTAAATTTCACTATAAAAACATTGCCTGAATTATGTCAAAAACAACATTTTTCTAGTCAACTCGCCGAGCTCTATTCAACTATAACACAAAAACGTCAAAAAGACTTTGCTCGGATTTCGAATTGCTGACACCTTATAACCTCTAAAATAACTTATTTTCCTGATAATCTGTTATCAAACTGTAGTGCACTTCATCTATGTTCATCAATAATCATTCACTCTATTTAATAGGCATTTCTCAATGATGCAGAAGAATTTCAAGAAGGAATTGATGATCTTGATCGACGTATTGGTCGTATCGCAAATCAAGCATTTGCTGATTGCAATGGTCTTGAAGCCATGTATAAATTAATTCATATATTTGGATTATTACTTGAACGACCTATGATTCATCATGATTTTGAAAAAAATTATCCAATTATTCTTGAGCAAGTTGAACGTGAAATGGATGATGCTAAACAAATATATGATGAACAAATGGATATACAACAAGAACAAGGCTCAATTCAACTTGATCGTAATATGCCGAAAGTAGCCGGTAGTTTAATGTGGGCTGAAGAACTTAAACAACGATATACACAGCCAATGGAACAATTTCGAGCGGTAGATAATGAGTAAGAATATTCGATGAGAAAAATTTTATTTAGATTCAAAAAATCGAAATTTTCTTTTTTCATTAGAATAACCCAAACATCTGATGCTAAACGTGTTGAAGGAAAATATAATGAATTAAATGAACTTGTTGATAGATTTATTGAAGAACTTTATAAAGAATGGGCTACTAATGTAAGTGAAGCATCGAAATTTAACCTTAATCAACATTTAATTACACGAAACCCAAAAAATCAATTGATACAATTAAATTTTCATCCACAAGTATGTATTTATTAAAGAACAAGAAAAAGAGAAATAAAGATTATTGCAATACGGTTTTTTTGTATTTATATAGCTTGAAACAGTCTTACGTGAAGTTCGTTATCTTGAAATAAAAGATCGTAAAGATATTCCACAAGCTGCTTTGGATATTTATAAAGAAAATGATACATTTTTATCATTTATTAATAATTTAAATTATACAATAACATCCTACAATAAAATTCGTGAAACAATTGCTGAAGTTGAATATCCATTAATTGAACAACAACTTCAAGCAATTGATCAACAATTATCTGATGCTGAAAATAAATTGACTTGGTCAACATCTGGTAAATTTTGTTGAGTTCTTTTTATCTCGAAAGTCTATTTAATGCTGATAAGATTGAGTTGAAGTTCATTTATTATATTAAGCAGACAGTTACCAGCAGGGATATTCTGATGCTGCCACAATCGAGTTGAGTGACGATGACTCAGGAGGCTGATCGGAAGGTTTTTGGTAAAGTTGACCGGATTGAGGACCGTGGGTTCGGCTCTTTTTTTTGAAAATCGATGAGCAAAAAACAAAAAAACACTGAAGCGAAACGAAAATTTCTCAATGTTAAGGTCTTCCTTCACTCGGAACACCCTAGATAATCACTACACTTATACCTAGATTCTTGATCTTGGTGTAGATCTCAATTGATTAATAATGTGCCAGAGTTGTAAACTGTCTAGACTTTTCAATTTTATTCAGAAAACATTTTACACCGGTCAGTTTATTGAACTGTTTTTAGTTGATTAATAGAAATGGTTTCAAAAACATTCGTTTTTTTTTGTAAACCTTCACACAAAAAGAATCTAGATAGTGTTCTCGTAAATAGATGAGTTCTACAAAAGTAAACTCTTTGATGTGACCACAATACGGAAAAAAAATAATACATTTTCTAGGTTGTAAACGTCGATTATTAATCTTTTTTTTCTCGCTCAGATTTGATAGAATAACTGAATGTGTATTTGAATCAAAGGTCTACACTTAAGTTTGGTCTCTAATAAAATATTTATTGCATTAAATGAAGAAGCCAGATAACGTAAGCCAATTTCGATCGTTGTTTTGTAAGAGAGAAAAAAAAACAATTTGATTGGAGAAATAAAAAACAGCGAAAAATAACATTAAAAAACATAGATCGTATTTTGAAATAACATGCTTTTGTTACTTTGATGAACATATTAAACCATGCTCTGAAGATTTTGTAATAAATAAAATCAGTCGGCTCAAGCATTTCAACTTGTCCACCTGTACTGGATCGGTTACAGCTCTATGATATATCGAAGCCGCAATGTTCGGCTCCGGCACATTCGCCTGAGTCATCGGTCAATATTTTTAAAGATGGCTTCTGAAAAGTATATTTTGCACGACTAAGGATATTACTCGTTCTTTCAGAAGTTGCTGAAGAATGGCTTATCAGCAAAATTAGATATTTTCAAGACAGATAGATCTTGAGAAGTAAATCAAAAGCTGTCATCTTGAATATTATCTTCTATAAGATACTGAAATCACAATGGCTCCCGTTTCTCCACGATGCTATGTTTGATCCAGCTGAAAATTCTTTTACAGGCACTAAACATTATTTGGAGTGGATATCTTTTTATTTGTGTTCTTCAAATAAAAAAGCCGAAATATAGAAGCTATCCTAAAGAAGTCATGTTTTCTTTGAAAGAGCTGCCAGAAATCATTAACACAATTTTGTTTGAAACAAAAAAAATCGAATTCCAAACAGTGTATTGTATACGTGAAAACAGTTTCGCATTGCCAGGCATAATGGACCGGGAAAAAATGGGAATGTTTCAGCAGTTTTTTTCATGGAAAGGTTGGCTTAAAGAAAAAGAAAAACAATGTATAGTTTTCGCTAAGTTGCTTTTTTGTCGAACCTTTTAATGCTACAAGGCAGCTTTTATATTCAGTAGATAAATATTACTTCAGATTATACAATGGCCAAAAAAAAAAAAAAAAGGAAGCCTTTTACCCATAAAATGTCTATCGAATTGAACTCATTTATCTAATTTTCGAGAATAAAATGTTTTTCTAAGCTCATAACAATAAAACTAATATAACCTAATCACTACTGACAGTAATAAAAAATTACCTTGTAACATAATACAGTTTTTCTATCTTTTCTTTCCTATTTTCCTTAAAATGAACTGCATCCTATATATATCTCCTTGAAGGTATTGGAGATTATATTTTACGTACTCGTACAATGGTATTTGATCTTGAACAACGTCTTCAAAAATCTAAGAATAATATACTTGAAATTCAATCCATAATGGCTACATGGTCAAAAAGTCCATTATATGAACGTGCAAGTGCACGTGGTACAACAGAAAAACAAACAGGTGGTGATAATCTTTTAATATTATCGGATTTGGATGAACGTCTTAATAAACGTTATCGTGAAATACGTGAAGCTGGTGAACGAATACATAATTTAGTTGAAGAAAATCGACAATATTTACAAGTGAATGCAAATGATTCAAGTATATCTGAATATTGGAAAGCTTATATTGAATACATTGATGAAATGATAACAGACGGATTTTATGCTATTATACAATGTGATCTTGACTTTTTTCGACAAGAAACAGATCGTAAAGCTAATCCTGAAGCATTATTTCAAGTTCTTCTTGAAGTTCACGTAAATAAATAAAAAAATAATAGAAAATTTGCTTTTTTCATCTTATTATTTTATTTCATTTTGTAGCCGCCTGAAATGATATTTACTCCATCAATTGAATCAAATGCACCTGATGGTTTTGCTGATTTTATTGATGGTCTTATTGCAAATTCATATAAACAATCATCACTTATTCCACGTTTAGCTAAACATCTTCCACATGCAAATTATCAACCTGATATTCAAGAAATGAATTCACTTACAGAAATTCGTCATGAAATAAATGAACGTGTACAACATGTTATATCAAAAGCACATGAATATCAACGTTCATTTGATCGTTATGCTTATTTATGGACAGATGATCGAAAAGAATTTATGAGACAATTTTTATTATATGGTCATGTTTTAACACCTGAAGAAATTCAACAACATGCTCTTACTGGTATACCAGAAAATCCTCCAACAACAGCACAATTTCGTGAACAAATTGATACATATGAAGCTATTTATGATGAAGTTGAAAAAATTGATCCAATTCAAATTTATGATAAATGGTTTAGAATTGATGCTCGACCATTTAAACAAACGCTTTTAAATACAGTCAAAAAATGGTCATTTATGTTTAAACAATGGCTTATTGAACATGTTACCACTAGGTATAACAGAAAAAAAAATACAATAAAATAATCTTATAAATTGATTTGAAAAAATAAAAAAACTTTTTTCTTCTTATTTTTAGTTTGAATGAACTTCAAGAATTTATTCAAAAAACTGATACACAATTAAAACGTCCAGTTAAAGAAGGTGATTATAATTTACTTGTTGAAATTATGGCACATTTAGCTGCTATTAAGCAACGTGAACAAGCAACTGATGCATTATTTACACCATTAAAAGAAACAATTGAATTATTAAAATCATATAATCAAGATTTACCTGAAGAAGTTCATCAACAACTTGAAGTTTTACCTGAAAAATGGTTAAATTTAAAACGTAATTATGTTGCTGTTAGACAAAATGTTGCACCATTACAAGCACAAGAAAATGCTAAAATACGTCAACGTTTAGCTGAATTTGATACAATACAAGCACATTTTCGAGAACGATTTAAAAATGAAGCACCATATGCATATGATTCACCAGATGCTTATAGAAAATTAGATCGCGTTAATCGGGATTTAATTAAACAAGAAAATGAATTAGAAAAATTAATGAAATCATCAGCCCTATTTGAAGTTACATTTCCTGATTTTAAACTTATGAAACAATGTCGAAAAGATGTTAAATTACTAAAACAATTATGGGATTATATTAGTTTAGTAAGATATAGTATGAATGATTGGAAATCAACTCGTTGGCGTGAAATTAATGTTGAACAAAGTAAGTTGTTTGATTAATAACACTTATAATGAGGATAGAGAGTAAAAGAGCCTTCATAATTCATTAGCCTTCAGTTATATATTAATAAGAAGAATTGAAAAAAAAATACATTTGCAAAATCCATAGATCAAACAGTTAGACGAAAGTGAGTAAAAAAAAAACTGTGAATTCTTAAATAGCTTCTTTGAAAATATTAGATTATCCTTCGATAAGATCATATAAAATTGTATTCAATAGTGAGATTTCACATAAAATTTTCAGACATAATAATTGTTTGTAAGTGTCTATAAGGTTGATTACAAGATTGTATGAGATCAGTTATCAAACATTGAATGATCTGAGCATCTATTTATTTGATTTAGGTTTTGTTCTTAAGCATAGAGATCCAAGTCAAACAATCAGATCTAGTATGCTTCATATCTGATTTTGTACGATCTTTCCAGAATCACATAAGAACATAGGAGAAACTGTAGCCTCGCCAAACAATTCTTACAAGATCTTATATGGTCTTTCGAAACTGATCATACAAATCACCACTAAAATCACCACTAAGTCCGATCTTTTTTTGACCTAGAGAAGTTTTTCTTCTGTTGGAGTAAAAGCCTCCAGACTCGGTAGTATATCTTATTTGGACAGTTCTTCTGGGAACCAAATGCATTGAGATATTATTATTACAGATCAGAGATCGAATTGGACCGAGTTTTACCGGTTCGAGTTCGGTTCGGTTCGTTTTTAGTCTTTGATGTAAGCTCCTTCCTTCCTAAGCTGTAGCAACCTGTCGAAAGGGAGAAAAAAAACCAACAATAATTTATAACGTTTCCATAACAATCAAGGATAACAGGCATCATACTCCATAACCAAGGTTTCTTAGCAACGGAAAAAAGGTACTGAACGGTATTAACAACAAGAGTTAGACTATTTTAGAACATTCCAAAACCTTTCTCAAAATTTTAATGGTTGGAATATGCTTGTGAATGTTCTAAATAGTGTAGTTTTGGATTTTTGCCTAGCTAAAAATTTATATTAAAAAATGTCAAGGATGATGAGTAGTGATGTATTGATTTGCTATAGTCGTCATACATTAAAAGCATGAACTGATCAAGTTATACCTTTCGAAAATAATCAATATCAGTATTTGTAAGCTTATCGAGATATACGTATATAATAGTATATTGAGACAAGATAATAAGGTTATTTGAATTCCACATTTTAACCTCAATAGGTCTGCACTGCCAAACTTTCTTTTGCGACATAAATATCAATTTTCCTTTTGAATTCAATAGTTGATGCCGAAGTTAAAAAATTTCAA